CAATGTTGAAGATGCTGCAAATAAAGCTCCAGAAGAGTCAGTTGCCAGGTTTGAAGAGAAATTTGGCAAGCAACTCTTCAAGAGAAAGTATCCTCCCAAGGATCATGTGTATTTTCGAGGTATAACAAACTCATTTACTCATTGACAATAGATTAATTGCATTTGACAGATATGCAAAATCCCACAAGTGACTGCAGTGAACTGCTGAGGAAGACAGCAGCCACCTTTTCAGATGATACACTGTTACAGCTGTTTCTTACAGTGCAGCAAAATAATGTGGCTCTGTCAATTGAATATGCAATTAAAAGGTAGTTGCTTCATTTTGAATTATATGCTGGTAAATTGCTGATTATCTAGAATAACAGAGTTGTCTTTCCAGGTTGGAAGTTATTCAAAGAAAAGAAAGAGTGGAGGAAGATGGTTGAGAACATACTGAAGTATTTTCCACATATGGTATGTGGACCTTACTTGACTGTACAGTGGTAGAACAAAATAATATATATGAACAGGCGGTAAGCCAACATCCAGTGGGCCTCAAGTAGATGCTAATGGGATCATGCTTTTGTTATAACAGTGGGTGAGTCAGGATCTAGCTGGCCTTTCCTGCCCATTGCTGACAAGAGCATGCTCTGGGTTTTGAACAGACTGTAAGTCAGGATCTGGCTGGCCCTTCCTGCTTGTTGCTGACTGCAAGAGCATGCTCTTGGTTTTGAACAGAATGTAAGTCAGGATCTGGCTGGCCCTTCCTGCTTGTTGCTGACAAGAGCATGCTCTGGGTTTTGAACAGGATGTAAGTCAGGATCTGGCTGGCCCTTCCTGCTTGTTGCTGACAAGAGCATGCTCTGGGTTTTGAACAGGATGTAAGTCAGAGGATCTGGCTGGCCCTTCCTGCTTGTTGCTGACAAGAGCATGCTCTTGGTTTTGAACAGAATGTAAGTCAGAGGATCTGGCTGGCCCTTCCTGCTTGTTGCTGACAAGAGCATGCTCTGGGTTTTGAACAGGCTGTAAGTCAGGATCTGGCTGGCCCTTCCTGCTTGTTGCTGACAAGAGCATGCTCTGGGTTTTGAACAGGATGTAAGTCAGGATCTGGCTGGCCCTTCCTGCTTGTTGCTGACAAGAGCATGCTCTGGGTTTTGAACAGTATGTAAGTCAGGATCTGGCTGGCCCTTCCTGCTTGTTGCTGACAAGAGCATGCTCTGGGTTTTGAACAGTATGTAAGTCAGGATCTGGCTGGCCCTTCCTGCTTGTTGCTGACAAGAGCATGCTCTGGGTTTTGAACAGGCTGTAAGTCAGGATCTGGCTGGCCCTTCCTGCTTGTTGCTGACAAGAGCATGCTCTGGGTTTTGAACAGGCTGTAAGTCAGGATCTGGCTGGCCCTTCCTGCTTGTTGCTGACAAGAGCATGCTCTGGGTTTTGAACAGGATGTAAGTCAGGATCTGGCTGGCCCTTCCTGCTTGTTGCTGACAAGAGCATGCTCTGGGTTTTGAACAGGCTGTAAGTCAGGATCTGGCTGGCCCTTCCTGCTTGTTGCTGACAAGAGCATGCTCTGGGTTTTGAACAGGCTGTAAGTCAGGATCTGGCTGGCCCTTCCTGCTTGTTGCTGACAAGAGCATGCTCTGGGTTTTAAACAGGCTGTAAGTCAGGATCTGGCTGGCCCTTCCTGCTTGTTGCTGACAAGAGCATGCTCTGGGTTTTGAACAGGCTGTAAGTCAGGATCTGGCTGGCCCTTCCTGCTTGTTGCTGACAAGAGCATGCTCTGGGTTTTGAACAGGCTGTAAGTCAGGATCTGGCTGGCCCTTCCTGCTTGTTGCTGACAAGAGCATGCTCTGTGTTTTGAACAGGTGTAAGTCAGGATCTAGCTGGCCCTTCCTGCTTGTTGCTGACAAGAGCATGCTCTTCAGTTCTACAATTTTAGAAGGATCTGGCTGGCCCTTCCTGCTTGTTGCTGACAAGAGCATGCTCTGGGTTTTGAACAGGCTGTAAGTCAGGATCTAGCTGGCCCTTCCTGCTTGTTGCTGACAAGAGCATGCTCTGGGTGTTAAACAGGATGTAAGTCAGGATCTGGCTGGCCCTTCCTGCTTGTTGCTGACAAGAGCATGCTCTTGGTTTTGAACAGGATGTAAGTCAGAGGATCTGGCTGGCCCTTCCTGCTTGTTGCTGACAAGAGCATGCTCTGGGTTTTGAACAGGATGTAAGTCACCATCCGACTGTTCTTCTCTACTTGTTGTTGATAAGAGGGTGGCCTGTGTTTTAAATAGAAGGTAGGTCTCAGCTTTCTTCTCTTTTCATTTTGCTAAGAAATGATGAGATTGTCAGTTCAGTTCTACAATTTTAGAAAAACACTTATGAAACTCCACTTGTTCAAATAGACAGTCAGTATTTTATTGTTTCTTCCAATATTTTTATAAAAACCAGTAGTATTGACTGAACCAATTACTATTTTTAGGCAAAGGATGTCCTCGATCATACAGACTGGTCCTTGGTAAACCTTCACTAGCTTCACTGTGTAAATGCTATTCATTATTCTGACCACCACATAATTCTATCCAGATTCACAATACCAAATCCTTCAAGGACATTGCCTTTCTATGTATTGGTGTGTCTACTCTCATTTATGACCACTCTATCATAACTACTATTTTACTGCTCAGTGACTGCTATCATTGCAGAGCACTCTTTCTTTCTGTGGAAACAGAATCCTTCAAAGTCCACTGCCCCCTTTGAATCAGCCATGCAAAAGTTCAACTTGTCTGCTGATGTGGCAAAAATTAAAATTGCCATCAAGGAGGCCTCTCGGCTTAAAACTGAGGACCAAAAGAAACAGGCCCTTGTAAAGATTGCTATGGACAATCGCCTTCGTGAGTATCAATATTCCAAGTCTTTCAAGGTCTTCTCATTTATTTGATTTTAGCTTTATAAAAGTTTCAGCCCACCTTGCCAGAATTTCATAAATGCAGCACATGTCTCTAGTTACCACCCATTATGATGCACCTTTTGCCTTGTTGTTCCCAAAAACATAGATTGTGTCATTTGAGTAAAAGAAAGTCAAGGATGGTAATTTCTTTTAAAGTCCACAAGCTTTTCATGTTCTCAAGCTTCCACAGCTTGAGGGTGCCCTTGAGTTGTCTTCACAGTGTATGTGTATGGGAGTTCAAAGAGTTGTTAGAGGGGGGTGAGATGATACATGATTTACGTATTCTCTAAAGTCTGTCAGAAAAACACAAAAGATACAGATACATATTCCACATTGCAATGTATTCACAAAGAAAGAGGAGTTCTAAGTACCAACAGTGGTAAAAAAAATACAGGTACAAGAAACGACGGCTAGCAATGAGGGAGGACTGGGGAGGTACAGATGAAGGGAGAGTGGCATCAAACTCAAAAAGACGTAGTCGAGTCGACCTCAATAGTCGGCACGATGCTCACAATAAACTTGAGGAAAACAACCAGATAGAAATTGACCCTCATCCCCTCCACCTCCTCTTCCTCAGCCCCAGCTTGAAGCTGTTGAACGTCCTTGGCACTCCCAGACGACTTTCAGCTGAATGGCCACTTCTTCTCTTTCTTTGGGGTGTCCTTCCCCGAGGGTTTACCATGCTGCGTGAGCTGTTCCTCGACGACACTGTTGTTCATCCTTTCTATTACCTTCTTCATGATGCTGGCATGTCTGCATGGATGCATGGAGGCGGCTTGGAGAGAGGCGGAGTGGATGAATGGTTCAATTGTTACTGTTTTCTGGGTGTGGTCTGCTGAGATGTCTTGGAAGATTTGGGAGGGGGTGGGGTGCAGTTCTATTGTTTCCGTTAGCTAGCGTATTAGAAAAATGGGCAAAAGGTGAACCTCATCGTAGCTGATCAACCAAACATGTGGGGTCTGATAATACTTGTCATATGTGGTCATTACATTGTACGTGTGGACGAGGTCTTTACCCTCCCCCATGTAATCCATATGGACTCCAGTGGACTCCAGTGGATTCCAGTGGCCTTCTTACCAGGCCAGATTGGCTGGCAGAATGCCCAGTCCACTATGCCCGCTCCAAGAATACGGCAAACACTAGTATACGGACTCATCTACTTATCATCCACTCCTCGTCCAACATGGCCTTGAGTTACAAAGGTACGTCTCTCGAATCTTGAGCTTTTTTAAAATTCTTACAACGTAAAATGTGTCGGACTTTTTTTTTCTCGGTTACAACCGGCCGGCGTTGCAATCAGGTAAGAACGCCGGTTTATTCCCAGTTGCAACGGATTTCAACCGAACACGGTCATTGCCACGGGGTTGACTCCTGCCAAGCCGGTTGAGATCGGTCCATAGTTATTGATACCGATTTCAACGCGGATTGCAATCTTATCTTTTGAAATCATGTCATGTAATCACCACTTAATATCTAGTTCTCAGCGTCAAGGTCAATCCCCAAGGCCCTTTCGAGCGGCTGCCAACTGACTACCTTCGGATTGGTTGTTGACAATGCCAACTAACTTTCACGTGTAAGTATAACTGTCACTTTCTCTCCGTGGAAGCAACTTGTGAAAAACGAGGATGCAGCGTGCCTTATCCGTCAAGCTCTCCCACTCATCGAAGCAATCTCACGAGAATTCAATGACGCCCTTCTCTGGCCAGCATATGCACCTTACCTCACATTTGAATATCTCCTCGCGCAAACGACAACTTGGGGTCCAGGGATCTTCAATGATCTTATCAGAGAGTTGACGAACGTTGCGAGGGGGGAGAGGAGTGATAAGTTTTCTAGCTGTTCCGGCACATGGAAAGTTCGTGGAATGGGTGAGGTACTCAAGGGAGTGGAGGAAGCATCATGAGCGATAACGCGTGCAACAATGAGCACGTCTCGGGTCGAGAACCAGACTATCGGGATATTAGTAGGCTTGGCACAACGTGCAATGTGTTCAGGATCCCCTCAAAATTTATGTGCGTGCTTTCTTTGCCTATCGCGATCCAGATCTTTCTGCTAAACAACACTTGTGTATTAGATTCGTCGTGTAACGATACAGGAGTACCCAACCGATCAATTTGCAAAACAGTTACGGCGCACGTCTCTTCTCAGCAAGAGGACTGGTGGCAGGAGATTGTCAACACGCGAAGTGCAATCGGCGACCTTCCACATGAACTTCATGATCAGGTCTTGCAGGAGGTTTGAGTGAGGAGGTGCGGTATTACGTGCTTTATGCAGGTTCAACGGAATTTACTTTGGGCGGGCTTCTAGGTTCCACATGCGATCGCAAATATGGCAAAGGATCCAGAGAGGGTTTATCCGTACGATGGTGGTAGAAAGTTCCGGCGGTAGTGGTGAGCATTAGCTGAAGCGAGGACTGTGCAGCCTCTGAATACTGATCAGAACTCGTCGACACCCTCCCTTCATTTCCTCCTCGGTGAAGGCGATGCTCTTTGAGCCCGTGGGACTGTCCGACAACTTTGGGCGCTTGTGTGGCTGGCGTGCAGACTGTAGTTGGACCACACCAAGGCCGCTGATCCTATCCTACTTTGTGGCCCGAGATTCCAGCCTCATTGATTTCATGCAGCGCATATGATGCACAGGCGTTGATGCCCGAGTATTCGAAGCAACCAGTGACGCTTGTGAATCGACACGAAGCCAATTTGTATCATTTCCCTCCCAGATTTTGCATGCAATATCGGTAGGTTCTTCAATTTCTTGGTTGGTGCGAGTTTCTGACCAAGGCCATTATATATTAAATGAAAGACAGATTTTTCTATCCGCTCGAAAGAGCAGGGTCGGAGCCTTGACATCCGAAATAATGTACGCCTCGTTGATTATACCAGTCCCTGCCTGACATTGTTCCTTCACACTTACGTAGTACTATGCTCGGCATGCTATGAAATGGCAGTGCATTCAATACACTCACCGGCCATGCAACTTAACGGCGACCAACTAGAAAATACCGGCGCCTTGCTGTAGATTACGTCAAGGTATTGATAAATACAGAACCCCGTCCAAAATTCTACCTTCCCCATTGACGACTCAACCTCACCTTCAAGCTTACGCCGCTGACAGACTCCTTTCAATATGCCTCGCCGCCAAGTCCAACCTCCTCAGTCCAGTGGCGAAGAGTTCGACTCTCCATCCAGTGGCGAAGAGTTCGACTCTCCATCCAGCGGATCATCGAGTTCGGATGATTCTGGCCCCGAGAATGATCTCCTTTCTCTTGGTGGAGCGGCACATGTTCTGGCTGTCAGCTCAAATCCTACAAGAGAAGAGTATGACGAGGTTCATTTCCCCTTTGTATTTGAAGTTCTACGTTCACTGTAAAGTTTAGGCTTTAAAAAAAGCACAGTTATTGTGTGGCAAGCGCGACAAGGAAGTCCGTCAACTTCGTGAAGAGTTGGCGACGATCAAGGTCAACCAGCCGAAGCGCTCGCGACATAGTCAAGGCACCAGTGGGTATCCTCCAATTATCGCGAAGCATGAAGAGGAGATCGCGTCGATTGGTCGAATGTTCAGCCTCACCTGCGAGATGTTCCTTCCTAACGACTACAATACGGTCATTATCAACAGTTCTCGTCCCCAACAGAGTCTTGTCAACAGCCCCCAGAGATATGTTACAAAGGCAGCTGAGGAAGCCGGCGTTTTATCGGAAATGTATGAGACGGTTCCCGAACGCTTTCATGGTTTGATGAGAGAGCACAGTCAATTCGGGGTCTTGGTGAGTTTTACAAGTCTATTACTTCATGTAACAATTCTTACAACCTTTGTAGTTTTGCAATAAACACCGTAAAGTTCGCTCAACCTTTCTCAAAGAGCTTCGCGACAAGATCATTCCGAAGATATTTGGCGCTGAAATTCCTGATGTGGCGAATCAAATTGGTGCCAGCCACGCTGCCAAGCAGGCGAGCAACAACAACTTCCGGGAGCTTCTGCGTTGGGACATGACACGAAATAAGTATCCCAAGTTTGCTCCCATCTTATATGCTGCCCGAGAATCAGACAGACGCCGTATCGATGATCGAACTAAAGTTTTCATGAACCCTCAGCTTGTTTTGGTAAGTTTTACATATTTGCATGCTGCATCGCTCACTCGCTATCAGGCTCTGAAAGGTTTGTTAAATGGTGCTGCGTCAATCACAAAGGTCGGCAAATACGCGAAGCCAAAAACACGTGCCGCCTTATGGGGGCTTCTTGGTGTGACACCTGGTTCTATTGCCAGCATCGCCATTCTGGTACATTTTAAACTCCTTGCCAAGTGTATAACTTTCTAATTGTTTTCTTCTTTTCCACAAGGTTCGTTTCATCTTCTCTCCTGATCCCGAGCTTTCCGCTGGGAAGGGAGCTGTCACTGGTATCGACTACAGCAAAGATTTCAGCTCGTACAAGATGTTTATTATTCAGAAACTCGACACCCCATACGGGAAAGCACTATTCGATCTCTACAACCAGATCATTTTCGGTTCGGCTACAGTGAATACGATCGCAAATGATCTGGGAGACGGGGACGAAAGCAGTGGCATCGAGGATGCAACCAATCAATTCGACACACTCTCCCTCGCCCCTCCTGAACTTGCTACTCATGGTAGTATCGAACAAGATGCTCTCGCCACTTCCCTTCCCGCCAGTCCTAACGTTGAACAAAGAGTCATCAGCGCTGGACCATCGCAGGAGCACAGCCGTGGCAATCGGGTGTCTGATGTCGCACAGGAACAGCTGCTTTCAACAACACATCATGCGGCTCCATCTACGTTGGTCACACCAGAAGCCAGGGTTGTAGAGAAGTCAAAGAAAGGGAAGGCAAGGGAGAAGGGACCTGTTCAGGACACAGCGGCGGAGGTTGTTGAGGCTGTACCAGGTACTCGCAAGCCTCGCAAACCACGCGCGCGCAAAACTTAGTTACCGCTGTCTGTAGTTATGGATGCCTTCAATTTCGTTTCTTCACTGTCACTATTCATCATGTACATGTAAAGGTGCGAAGCGCATCAGTGTACTTTAGGGTGCAAGTCGCTCTATTTACTGTCGAGAACCAATTGCTCCTTATGTTAACCCGATATCTAATGTAAATATATGCCCCGCTGGTAAAGCGGTAACTATCGATCACTGACCAAAGGTAAGTAAGACCATAAGCTCAAGAGTTCGAATCCTGGCTGATGCAATACCCTACATAGGATAAATAGAATAACACTACAAAGTATAATAGAATACAATATAATAGACAGAACAAGTACAATACAATACAGTAGATAGAATAGATCACTACAAAGTCGAATAGAATACTACAGTAGCGTACTACAAAGTCGAATAGAATTACGGACTACAAAATATATAGTAGACTTCAAAAAATTAGACTACAAATTTCTCATCGTTCCACAATTACAATACGGTTGTGAGCGCAGTACACATTATTGAAATTTGGTTAGGACTTGGTTGAAACGATGGTTTGAACACAGTCTCAATCAACCACTCTTCGGCTGTAACCGGTCCGAACAGCCACGGGTGATTGGATCGGTTGGAACCGGTAGTAACCAGCTGTAACCAATATTAGAAAACTCCGACATGGCCACCCTCAGATGCCAATCAGGAAATCTTGAGACTCTGAATTGACCGTAATTTATATGATTTATACAGAATTGACCGTAAATTACACACAAATGACTGGATTGTGACTTTTGAGAGAATTGACAGGATTAAGTAAAATAAAACGGGCACCGATTAATTGTGCTTAATTGATGATGCCTAGCGCGCAATTGACCATTCATTTTATTATATTGTACCACAGAATTGATGCTCTTTTTCACGCAATTAGACACAACAAAGGAGAATTCAAGTTGAAGAGTGCATTGGATGGCGACTGACTATACATTATAAACTACGTAAAACACAAGCCAAAGAAATATCTTGTTCGAAGTGCTAGCGCCTTCCCTCGCAAACGCTTCACCCTCCTTCCTCCACTCCCATCTCAAATGCATACCACTCCTCTGTCACGTTGATCCACTGTCCCTAACATCGTGTCGCAGCCCATTCATCTGCCCTGCAGTGCTGGAGAACACCGCGTACATGTTTGCGCATACAGAGGGTGGGGCGGTGGGATTAATCGTACCTGGAGGTGCTTTTGAAAAGAATTTAAGAAAGGGGGGACGTAGACATACCCTGTTGCACAAGTGGTGGAGCGCCTGAGGTTGATCAGCTAGCTTTTGTCGCGTCAGGCTGGGGTGGGGTTTAGAGGGAGAGGAATACATACCTCGATGGCCAGCGTTTTGACTCTGACGAGACCCAAGGCCTCAAATAGTTATAACATGGCCGTTCAAGGGTGTCGTCGTCATTGTCATGTCCCGTAATCATCGCCCAATGTGGCAGTGGGCGAGGCGGTGACGTGGCAGTGGTTGGCGGGCGTTACGATGGCGGCTAAGCAGGTTGTAGTAATTAGCGAGGGGAAAGAAGGGAGGCTTGTAGGGCTTACGCCGTGATGTGCTCACCTGCACTATTGTGGACGGCGATGACGGCATGTGTCGTTGCCGTGTGGACGATGTGGCACATCCAGAGGGGAGTGTTGACGTGCCACGTCATCTTCTCCATGCACCGTCGATGCTCGTGAAGCTGGCACGGCCCTAGCCATGGTAGGCGCTCACGACGTAAGGCAGTGGTCACGAAGAGTGGTGACAGTGATGGGGATGGTGGTGGGAGGAGGAGAGTGGGGATGAAAGACGAAGTAGAGTTCTGTTGATTTCAACAATCAACAACGTCACGTGTATCGGAGCTTGAACTGACTTGGGAAGAATTACCGCCATCCATTCCACAACCATAACCACCCATGCGTCTTGACAAACACCACGAATAGGACGTGGCCACCAAGTCTCGAGTTCAATGAGCACGATCAGGATTGCGAGCCTCGTGGAAACAAAGCCACAACATGACTGGAGGGAGTACCCATTGCGAGCCGATGGTGAGGACTGCAACGAAGGCAAGTACCCCAACCCATTGCGCTCTCATAATGCTGACTGCCCCACTTTCCACACCACCTCCACCTCTGCTGCTGCTGTTGCTGCAGTCTGCAGTCCATCTGCCACCTTTTTCACCACCGTTGGCGCACCACACACAGCGGTTGAGAAACCACACCGGCTTCACTACTGATAACGCAGCCGTCGACAACACTTACGCCCTTGTTTGCTGTTGTCAATGGGGCTTGGGGTCTCACTATAGACTCTGCTGTGGACATGAGCCCACTCCGTCGACGTTGGGATGATTAACACCGAAACGCTGCGACAACGCTGCCCTCTGTAGTTAATTAATATAGAACCTCAAAATGTTAGTAATAGAATCCATTGAATCATATCCATATGATCACCTCCAACTAAGTTGATTTAAATCTCAACAGATAACTAAGCCACATGGGGTTTTACCACTTTTCAGGACAAGAGTGAACAATGTAAATTCTGGTTTTTCAGTTAAGAAGAATTGACGGGAATTTATGAATGATTGTGCACAATCGACATCTCCATTTTCGATTGAGGAGAATTGAGAAGAATTTACCAACAATTGTGCACAACACGATTAACCAGCTGAATTGTGCACAATTGTGAGTTTTAGTTTTTCCTGATCAGTGTGCGTGATGATCAAGTGCTGCTCAAGGCCTACTCACAGGCCGCCACTCTGGAAACACACACAAGTATTCGTACATCGGTGTAAACCAGAAGTCGATGAAGCAAACTTGAACCCACCATAATCGCATAGCTTCGACCCTCCTTCGCACTCCCTCGCCCCTTCAGATACTAATCCTGCCTTTCGAACTTACATGCCCGACCCTAACAGTGTCCCCGGGTGCAGAGCTTCCGCACGGAACCTCCAAAGTTTCCCTTCCACCTCAATACCCCATTCCACTTCGAATCCCTCGTCTTCCACCTCAACTGCCTCCACCCCACTTCAAATTCCATCAACCCTTCATCCCTACCGTCATCCAGACCTCCCTCTACGCCTCGGACACAATAAACTCTGCCTCGTCATTTCCGCGTGATCGCCATGCGAAGTTCTTCATCCACTGTTACCGTTGCAGGAGTGTAGCGTGCATGGTAAGGGCGCTGTTCTCTCTTTGTAGTCTTCAACGTTGACTTCATCTTCAAGGGTGCCATTCACTCCTGTTACCGTAGCGTGGCCTCGTCGAATTCGTCTTCGACCCCACTTCGTCGAGTTCAACTTGAAAAATAATGGAAACCAGCATGACAGACTACGCCCACAAAGCAGCCGCCACCGGCTCCATCTACCTCTCTAGCATCTCTGAATACGACCTCTACTGCCACTACGTCCCGGGCCTCGACGAAGGCCTCTTCCGCATCTTCTTAGCCTCGATAAGGAAGCTCCTGGCAAGGCTTCCAGCTCCTACTCTCAAACTCCATGGGCCTCCATGACTTTCGTGAAGATGTCGATCAGCAACGCTATTTCTAGCCCCGGGAGATTTTTGGGAAGGAGGAGTATGGGTTTCGGGAGATAAAAGACCTTTAG